GGCAGCCAGAGCCCACCCGGGGTTTCCCTGCTCAGCCAACTCCTAGTTTTCCTTTAAGTATCTGCTGCAGAGTCACCAACTTACTGTCTTCTACTTACCTCTTCTCTCTCTGCTCCTGTGACACTGGGCACACTCACGCATCTGTTTATCAAGTCCTTCGTCCAACAAACTCAAATATCTATTTAATGCCCTGTACGTGCCAGGCACCCAGCTAGAAACTGGAGACCCAGCAACGAGTGAGCCACAGCTCACCTCTGAGAGCTCCCAGTCCAGATGGGGAGACAAAGGCTTAAGCTCCCCACAGAGCGAGGGGCACAGCCCATTGCCAAGGGCAGGCACAGGCGCTCCTGGCATTTCCCGGGCCCGTGCCGACCAGCGGAGAGTACTGCCCTCTTTGTTGACACTCCCACCTCCGAGTCAGACTGAGCTCTGTGAGGACAGGGATGTCTCAGAGTTCTGAGTCCGTGCTGGGCCGCCCTGGTCCCCCAGCAGATGCCCCTGAACAAATGCCTGTTTTACATCCAGAGAAAGGCACCCCCCGCCAGCCTGGCCTCACGCAGCCTCGCACAGGTGGGCCAGCTGGGAGCAGGTGCGGCTCCTGGGCACGCGGGGCCTCTCCGGCCCTGGGAACTGTTCAAGGACGGATTGTCCCCACGGGGGTCCTGCTGCCGACATAGGTCTCCACGAGCTTAGGAGCTCTGCGAGAGATTACAGCCTCGCTCCCAGAAAAATAACTAGAGAGCCTCAGAAGATGCACTTCGGAAAGCAGAAACATCCAGAAGATGTGAGAGCAGGAGCTGGGCCCGGCGGGCAGGACTCAGCCGCCCCTGAAGGCATGCTGACAGCCGGTAGGAGGGAAGGGCAATCCAGGCAGGGGGCACCAAGAGCACAGGACAGGAGCAGGAAAGACACAGGTGTTTGTATCAGAAGATTCCTGCCATGGCCCTGGCTGGTGTGGCTCAGTAGATGGAGCATCGGCCAGTGGACTGAAGGGTCCTAGGTTTGATTCCCATCAAGGGCATATGCCCAGGTTGTGGGCTAGATCCCTGTGAGGCCTGCAGCAGGCAGCCAATCAATGATTCTCATCATTCCTGTTTCTCCCTCTCCCTCTCCCTTCCTCTCTGAAATCAATAAAAATATGTATTTTTAAAAAATAAGATTCCTGCCACGAAAACAGAGGAAGGGGCAGCTGGGCCGACAGGACCGCACCTGCCTCCAGGAGGCGCAGGCACAGAGGTGGGGCTCAGGCAGGCGCTCCGAAGGTTCCCGACGGCAGGCACGCCACTGTTGCTCTCACACGAAGGCCTTTGCTTTCTGAGAAAATGCGAGTCCCCTCACTTTTTAAGAGAGAAGAGACGTCTGCGAGTTGGTTTTACAGAAGTGGTAACGACTGCCTGACCCCCTTGCGGAAGACCAGACCACATTTGCAAACCCACTGGCTGGGACGGGTCGGTCGTCCTGGGAAACTGGGTTTATCCTTAGTGAGAGGGCCGCTGGTCTCGTGGGAGAGAACTTGCAACCTACGGTGCTTTGGGTCTAAGTCACTGAGCTGACTCAGCAGCTGCCTGACCCCTGCCGCATTCGCGCGCACACACACACACACACACACACACACTCACTCACACACACAGTGGGGTTTGTGTGTGTGTTTAAAGGCTAATGTAGCCCTGGCTGGTTTGGCTCAATGGATAGAGCATTGACCCTCAGACTGAGGGGTCCCAGGTTTGATTCTGGTCAAGGGCACGTACTTTGGTTGCAGGTTCCTCGGTCCAGGAGGCAACCAATTGATGTGTCTCTCTCACATCGGTGTCTCTCTCTCTATCTCGCCCTCTCCATTTCACTCTCTCCAGAAATCAAGGAAAAATATCCTCGGTGAAGACTAACCAAAATAAATTTAAAAATTAATTAACTAATTAAATAAAACAAAAAACTTTTTTAAAAAAAGGCTAATGCTGACATGTCAGCACACTGACCCGGCAAAGGGAAAAAGGCGTGGGGTGGCAGCGAGCAGCGAAAGCCGGCAGGGCTGGCAGCGGCGCGGCCAAACTCCGGTGCTGTACCTAGACTCTTCATGGTCCTCACGCGAGGATATTTCCCATCGATTTTTAGCTAGAGTGGCAGAAAGGGGGAGAGACAGAGAGAAAGGTCGATGTGAGAGATGCATCAGCCAGTTGCCTCCTGCACGCACCCCAACCGGGCTCGGGCTCAAACCTGCAGCCAGGTACGGGCCCTTGACCAGAATCAAAGCCGCAACCCTTCAGTCCGCAGGCTGACCCTCCAACCACTGAGCCCACCAGGCCAGGGCTGGATTCTTCATTGTTTATGGGCAGCTCCCCCCGCCTCCACCTTTAGGCTGCTTTCTATTAGCAAAGGCCTGTGTGCTTCTAGGAACTTAAAATACCGCAAATTCATGTAGAACACTGCTGCTGCAGGTCCTGCCACAGGAGGCCCAGCTGCTCCGCCTCCAGCGGCCTCCGACCCTTCGGAAGCTCTCCCTGAGCTCAGCTCCTAACTCTCTCTCCGATGGGAAGAGGAACTTGGGTATTTGGGGTTAAAGAGCTTCCTGCACAAAGAATAAAACGTGAGTGAGAGCCCAGCCCGCGTGGTGCAGTGGCTGAGCGTCCACTTGTGAGCCAGGAGGTCACCGTCCAACTCCCGGGCAGGGCACACGCCTGTGTTGGGGCTTGAGCCCCAGTGTGGGGCCTGCAGGAGGCAGCCGATGGATAACTCTCTCTCATCATTGGTGTTTCTCTCTCCCTCTCCCTTCCTCGCTGAAATCAATAAAAATATTTTTTTAAATAAAAAATTAAAAAATGAATGAAAGATGGGGACTGAGTCAGCAGAAGAAATCCCCCCCTCCCCCCAGGGAAACTACACTGGAGCGGCCGGAGGCTGGGACCAGCACTGTCCCCAAGGGA